CCTGAACCCTAAACCCTGAACCCTAAACCCTGAACCCTGAACCCTGAACCCTGAACCCTGAACCCTGAACCCTGAACCCTGAACCCTGAACCCTGAACCCTGAACCCTGAACCCTGAACCCTGAACCCTGAACCCTGAACCCTAAACCCTGAACCCTGAACCCTGAACCCTGAACCCTGAACCCTGAACCCTGAACCCTGAACCCTGAACCCTGAACCCTGAACCCTGAACCCTGACCCTGACCCCTGACCCCTGAACCCTGAACCCTGAACCCTGAACCCTGAACCCTGAACCCTGAACCCTGAACCCTGAACCCTAAACCCTAAACCCTAAACCCTAAACCCTAAACCCTAAACCCTAAACCCTAAACCCTAAACCCTAAACCCAAACCCAAACCCAAACCCCTTTCTCTCTCTTTGTTTCTCTCTCTTCTCTGGCGATTCCCTCGTTTTCCAACCGTTTTTCCGGCAACTGTTTGCAACAAATTTGACATCAATTTGTTCCTCTTCTCCTGCTTAATCTAAGGATACTGTTTGATCGTTCCATGGAGGGTGTTCCACCTGATTTGGAACCTGATGTAATAATGCGGAAAAAAGGAAAAAATGCGAAGTTGAAAAATAAGCTCAAATTCGTTCAGGATTCTGATTCCAAGCAATTGATTGATTCATCCCAAGCTAAATCGGTCTCCTCCCTTGTCAACAAGTTTGAATCTGAAGCTGTCCCGATCAGTTCTATAATCCCGTCTGAAGCTGGTAATGCCGAAAATTCCAAATTGGTTAGTATGGCCTTTGATTCTTCTCTTTTTGTGAAAAATGAAGATATTCCTCCTAATTGTTTGATTCTGAATTCGCAAATCTCTCATAATATCGCTAATTTGAAAAATCATGTTATCCCCTGTTCGCTTAATACCGAGTGCTCCTCTCCTTCTATTATTCTGCATGGCTCGAATATTTCTATTAATGAAGAGATGGATTCAATTGATGTTCTAAGTCATCCTGTTGCTGAATTTGAAAAAGATATTGCTCAATTTTGTGGAATTGGAGAGAAAAATGCTATGATGGCTTTTTGGAATGGATTATCTGTAAATGAAAAAGAAGGATTTGTTCATGGTTTGAGATTCACGAAGAAGAAATACAATAATGGAATAGAAGCTGATGAAGACAAGGTGGATGCTATTGATGATGTTAAGAAGATCTCCTTGGTCAGTCAAAGGAACGAGATGCTGCTGAATTGGAAAGACTTGCCCGATAAGAAAAAAGAAAAAATAATTCGTAAACTTTGCACTAGCAAAGTTAAAAAATTGGCTGAAGCAAATTTTGGGAAGAACCGAATTCCAATCAAAACTTCTTCTTCTCTGTTCCCTTCTTCGGTTAATATGAAAATCTCTTCGGAACTTGAAGCTTCTGATGGTCTTCAAAAAGTTGGTGAAACTGTGATTAAGCTTTTCCCTGAAGGGGATCCAAAGCTGAATTTAAATGAGCCAGTGAGTGTTGATCTTCAAGAAATCTGTTCTCTGCAATCTGTGGTTAAGGAAAAGAAAGAGAAAAGGAAAATTGAAATTGATGAAATGGTGAGTAGACAACTAGAACAAGTATGTAATGAGATTATTTTTCACTTCCCTAGCAAGTTCAATCATATTGAAATTGAAAAAAAAGGAGAGTTTAATTTCAACTATGATGATCCGGATGACAAGGGCATTAATGTCCAAATGACGGTTGATGAAGATGAGGATAAGAAAGGAAGTATTCGAAATAGTAATGGAGGGCTTCTCATCACTGAAAACATGCTGGAACAAATGAAGAATGGGGAGATAAAGAACAAGGTGAATATGAATGCTCCCATAATGGCTTTGGATGAATTAAAAACAAATGAACCTGTGTCATATGCTGAAAAAGTTAGTGGGAAGAAGCTTAATGCAGCAAACCTTATTTCTAAGGTTAAGAAGAATGCGGAATTACCTGATGGAGTGGTGGAAATGCCAATTTGTGATATCCTTAAAGGCTGCAGCCCCTTTAAGACCACCCTTTATGGATATTTCATTGACAAACATGTTAATTTTTTTAATGTTAACAAGTTTGCTCACAACACATGGAAAAAACATGGATTAGAGGAAGTAATGGTGAATGACGAAGGAATTTATTTTTTCAGATTTAGCACTGAACAAGGCATGATTTCTGTGTTAGAGGGAGGAGTTTGGATGATTTTTGACAGTGCCCTTGTCGTTAGAAGATGGACCACTGGTGTGAGCTCGGCCAAAGATCAACATGACAAAGTTCCAGTTTGGGTCAAAATATATAATGTTCCTCTTGAATATTGGAATGGAACAGGGCTGAGTCATATTGCTTGGGAAATAGGAAAACCACTGGATGTTGATGCCCATACAGCAAAAATGTGTCAAGAGCATTGGGGAAGACCGGCCTTTATGAGAATTCTGATTGAAATGTCTGCTGCAAAGGAATGGCTAAAGGAAGTTCATGTATATTCGTCGGACCTTACTACAGGAGAAAGAATTCTGTCAAGATGCAAAATTGAATATGCTTGGAATCCTTCCAAATGCTCTCATTGCAAGGTTTATGGGCATAAAGATAGTACATGTGGAATTTTACTTGCTAAGGAGGCCAATGATGCAGTGAATTCTAAATCTGATGAACATAATAAGGATGGCAACAAAGTTGATTTAATGGAAATTCTTATTGCGAGCACAAAAAAAGTTGAAGAAGATAAAGATGGGTTTCAAACAGTGGTCAAAAGAAATAAGGGAATAAATACTGGAGAAAAAATCAAGGAAGGAAATGGAATAAAAAATCAGAATGTTTCTCATGGGCATTCTTGGAAAAACCAAGGCAATGGAAGGAATGCGGCTAAAAGTACTGCTGGAAGTCAGGGGCAAAAAGGGAATAGTGGAGAAAAAAACTCGGTTGGAAATCAGGGGCAAAAAGGGAATAACTTTGAAAAAAATGGATATAGTTATGGGGGCAACCAATGGATTAAGGGTAAAGGAATTCAGGGGCAAAATGGGAAGAACCAAAGTGTGAATGGTAGATCTTTCGGTTATAATTTTGAACAGGGGAAAATAGTAAAAGTTCTAATTTCTCGAGCAAAAATGTTAATGTTGGAGCTGGCACAGGTGGGAATAATGATCTGGGGAATTTGCAAGTTTCGGCTGCTCATAAAGATCCGAATTTATTTTCGGAAAAAAGAAAAAACTTTGGCAGTGGGCTGAAGTATGTTCCAAAGTCCAGAGATGATTTTAAGATTAGTTCTAACTTTGATAAAAGCCCAAAAGTTGAAAAAATTCAAGATCCTGCGATTATTTTGTCCAGCAACAAATTTGAGGTCTTGAAGAATTTGGAAGAGGATAATCAAATGGATTATTCAAGGAAAAGTATTCAAGATATTGATCTCGATTATTTGGATAATGTTGATCAAATGGAAGTTATAGGAGGTATCCCTTTGGATGATACCAACAGGGAAGGGTTTTCCAATGTCGCTTAATTTTGGAATTTGGAATATTAGGGGTCTTAATCAGGCTCCTAAACAAAAAGAAATAAAGAATTTTATTAAGGAAAATAATTTAAGTTTATTAGCTATCCTTGAATCTCAAGTTAGCTTGAATAAACTTAATGAGAAGTGTGATAAAATCTTTGGGAATTGGAAGTGGACTGCTGTTAAGGGGAACTTAGGGCGTACTTACCGCATTATTTTGGGATGGAATCCGCTTCTTTTTTATGTTAACTTGATTGATCATAATGATCAAGTTATTCATTGTAAAGTTTGGTTTCCTTCAAACAACAAATTTGTCTTTTGTTCCATTGTTTATGCTGCCAATAAGTACATTGATAGAAGAGCTTTGTGGTCTTCTCTTGTGCATCATAAAAGTTTTGTCAATGAAGATCCTTGGATTATTGGTGGTGATTTTAATGTCACACTTAATCCTTGTGAAAGTTTCGCTGGATCTTCCAAATTTACTAAAGGGATGGTGGAATTTCATGATTGCATTAATTCTCTTGAAATTCAAGATATTAATTGTAATGGATTGAATTTCACTTGGAATCAAAAGCCGAAAGGATTAAATGGAATTATGAAGAAACTTGATCGTGTCATGGGCAATTGCAAACTTCTGGATCAATTTCCTTCTATTTGTGCTTCTTTTCTTCCTTACGGGATTTCTGATCATAGTCCGGTCATCATTAAAATTCCCTCAAGATCTAAATTTAAGGTGCTTCCGTTTAAATTCCCCAATGTTCTTACCCTCTGTCCTGATCTGAAATTAATTGTTGAAAGGCACTGGAACATTGATATTCAAGGTGTTAAAATGTTTATTTTAACGCAAAAGCTTAAAAAGTCTCAAAAAGCCAATTCGCAAACTCTTAAAGATGCAGGGGCATTTTTCGGATAATGTTAATCATTACCGGAAAGAGCTGGAAGCGGTTCAAGTTGAATTGGACATGGATCCGTATAATTCTCATCTTCGCGATCTGGAGGCAATTTTTCTTGAAGAATTCAAAAAAGCTCATGATAAGGAAGAGATTTTCTTAAAGCAAAAAGCTAAAGTTCAATGGCTAAAGGAGGGTGACAGCAATTCAAAATTTTTTCACAGAATTGTTAAAGGGAAAATGCATAAAAACAGAATAGAAGCTGTTATGAATTGTCATGGAGAGTGGCTGGAAGGGGAGGCTGTTTATAAAGAGTTTGTTGACTATTTTCAGGATTTTCTTGGAAAAGAGGTGACTTGTGACGAAATTTATCAGCCTGATTCTCTTTTCATTAATAAATTGGATCTTAGTGATGCTGTTGATATGGTTAAGATTGTTTCTAATGATGAAATTAAGGTTGCCCTCTTTGACATAGAGGATGATAAAGCTCCTGGTTCGGATGGGTATTCGGCTAAGTTTTTCAAATCTATGTGGACTATTATTGGAGAGGATTTTTGTTTAGCTGTCAAGGAATTTTTTGCTAATGGGAAAATCCTCAAGGAGATAAATTCTACTGTCATTGCTTTAGTCCCTAAAGTTAATTCTCCTGGGAAAGTGAGTGACTTTAGACCTATTTCATGTTGTTCTGTTATTTACAAATGCATCAGTAAGATCATTGTTGGAAGAGTAAGAAATCATTTAGGATCTATTGTTGCTGATAACCAATCTGCCTTTATTCCGGGAAGATCCATTACAGACAATATCCTTCTTTCCCAAGAATTGGTTAGGGGTTACCACAGAGATCGAGGTTATTCTAGATGTGCCCTTAAAGTTGATATCCAGAAAGCGTATGACACGGTGAATTAGTCATTTCTTCAAAATATCCTCTTTCATTTTGGATTTCATCCGGCAATGATAAAATGGATCATGCAGTGTGTTAGCTCTCCTTCATACATGATTAGTATGAATGGATCTTATCATGGTTATTTTGATGGAAAAAGAGGTCTCGACAGGGCTGTCCTTTATCTCCGTATCTTTTTACCTTGGTGATGGAAAGTTTCAATTTGATTTTTCAAAGAAGAATAAGGAATGAGCCTCTGTTCAAGTATCATTGGAAGTGCAAGCAGCTTAAAATCACACACTTGTGCTTTGCGGATGATCTAATGATCTTCTGTCATGGTAATAAAGCTTCGGTCAGGGTTATAAAAGACAGCCTTGATGAATTTGCTAAAATTGCTGGCCTTCATCCTAATTTTTCTAAAAGCCATATTTTTTTTGGGAACGTCAAGGCTGATGTTAAAAGGAAAATTCTTGACACTCTTCCCTTTGTTGAAGGGAAACTTCCAATGAGATATTTGGGTATCCCTCTCATATCTACTAGATTGTTTATACGGGACTGCAAAAGACTTGTTGATAAAGTCCGATGTAGAATTGGCGATTGGAGAAACAAATATCTCTCTTACGCGGGAAGACTTCAGCTCATTTCTTCGGTTTTATTCTCCCTTCCTGTGTATTGGGCTTCTTGTTTGCTTATTCCAGCTTCTATAACCAAGGAAATTGAAAAACTGATGAAGAATTTTCTGTGGGACTGTGATGAATCCAAGAAGGGAAGAGCTAAAGTTTCATGGTCTTCCATTTGTAAACCTGTTGAGAATGGGGGGTTGGGTCTCAGAAATCTTAGAGTTTGGAACAAAGCTATTATATCTAAAAGAATATGGATGATTTTATCTAACTTTGACTCCTTGTGGGTCAAATGGATAAACATTCATGTTCTCAAGGGTAGAAGTTTTTGGGATGTTAAGGAAAAACAGGACCTAAGTTGGAGCTGGAGGAATTTGATTAGATTGAGAACCAAATTTAGAAATCATTTTTTTACCAAGATCGGGAATGGGGCAAATTCTTTTATGTGGTATGATGATTGGCACCAGCTGGGAGCTTTTTCGCATGTTCTTTCTCCTAGAGATATTACTAAAGCTGGATTCAGAATCACTGACAAAGTCAAGGATGTTATTGTGGGCAATTCTTGGTCTTGGCCGTCTGAGTGGATCACTCTTATTCCTCAATTGAGAGATCATCAATTGCCGATTCTTGATCCTTTGGTGGCCGACAGAACTTTATGGAGAAAAAGAGATGGTCAAGTGGTGGAATTTGATATTCATCAAGTTTGGAGGGACTTAAATTTCTGCGGTCAGAAGGTTCCTTGGGCCCATTTGGTTTGGTTCAAACAATGTATTCCTAGACTCAGCTTCATCTTATGGCTTGCTATCCAGGAGAGATTGATGACCCAGGATAGAATGAGATTTTGGGATAAAAACAAGAATCTCAAGTGTGTTTTTTGTAATATGCAACCTGACTCGCACAATCACCTCTTTTTTGAATGCTCGTATTCTTCTCTTGTCTGGAACCTAGTGAAAGATAAAGTGGGAATCACTAGTAATTCTCAAGGATGGGATACTTTAATTGAAGAGTTTCAAGATCTGTTGAAAGGGAAAAGCATTCAAGTTTTCATATCTAAGATTTCCTTTGCTGCTTCTGTGTATTTCATTTGGAGAGAGAGAAATAGAAGGCTATTTAGAAATGGAAAGTCCGAAGAGAGGAAAATTGCCTTGAATGTTTTTGAAGAAATCCGTTTAAAGCTTATTGGTCTTAAAGGTGTTTTTTCGGGATTTGATAATGTTGTTAAAAGGAAGTGGGGTATTCCGATTGGTGAGAAAAAGCAAGATTTTTATGATGATTAAAGGAATTGACGGATATGGGTTTAACAATTTTCCTTTAAAAATTGTTTTGCTTATCGGTTTTATCCCGATTTTCTTAAGGATTATTCCTTTTGAAGTGGATTTATTTTTGCAAATGGGTTTTATCCCCATTATAAGTTGTTTTTCTCCTTGGCAACTTGGAGTCTCCACTTTGGTGGGTGCCACTGCTAGTTCGATTAGCAAGTGGTGGGATAATTACCCGTTAATACCAGGGATTGGGTACGTTCTCCTTAAACTGTACCACAAATGGGTTGGTTGTTTCCCTTGTAACCATAAAAACAACTACTTTATGATTTTTTGGCATAAGTGTAAGGCTACTGCTATCCGGTGTATCCCGGATTTCATTGGATTTTTTCCTTTGAAGTGGATTATTTCTTATTGCATTTGGGTTTGATCCCCATTAGTTGGTGTTTTTATCCTAGGCAACTAGGATTCTCCACTTATGTGGGTGCCACTGCTAGTTCGATTAGCAAGTGGTGGGATATTCACCCGGCAATACACGGGATTGGGTACGTTAACCTTAGACTGTACCACTTACAGGTTGGTTGTTTCCTTTGTTACCATAAAAACAACCACACTTGGAGCTTTATGGATCCTTTTTTGCTTATTGCTGTCTGGTTATCCCAGATTTCATTGGAATCTTTTCCTTTGAAGTGGTCAATTTTTTAAAGCAAATGGGTTTGATCCCCGTTAGTTGGAAATTTCTTCCTAGGCAACTAGGAATCTCCACTTTAGTGGGTGCCACTGCTAGTTCGATTAGCAAGTGGTGGGATATTTACCCGGCAATACACTGGATTGGGTACGTTAACCTTAGACTGTACCACAATTGGGTTGGTTGTTTCCCTTGTTTTCATAAAAACAACCACTTTGGGACCTTACAATCCCTTTGGTTTTACCAAAATTTTAAAGCTAATCGGTCCATCCCGATTATCATTGGTTTTTTTGCCTTTGATGTGGAATTTGGAGGGTTTATTCTTAATTTTTTAAGGATTTACCTTCAGGGGTATTTTTGGAATACTCTCATTAAAAAAGGAATTGACGGGTTTCAATCTTTTGGGTTGATTCTTAAGAAGAAAGTTGGCAATGTAGTTTTTTGTAACCTTGAGGATTGTGGTTTAATTGTGCTTATGAGATATTTATTTGCTAGAGGTTGGGATTTTATCCAAGGGCAGTTTCGGAATTCTTGGATTATTATTTTGGAAGAATTATTGAAGAGTAATTGGCTTAGTTTGGGCAACAAAGAAGTTGAAGACAATTTGAAGAAGATTTGGAAATGTTGGGATTTGTTGGAAAATAATGGTTTTAGCATCATACTCTCTCGGGTTTTGAAGAATCTCTTTTGGAGCTTATTGGATTCTAAAGTGAAGATTGGAAAGAAGGTTATCAATTATCTTGTGGAGAAGATTGGGAAGAATTGCATGAAGAATATTGTTCAAAGTTCAAAGTTAATTGCTATTTTCGGTTTTAGTTTCGTGTGGAGATATTTGCAAACTATTGTAGTTTTGAATGATTTGGCCAATGATTCTCTTGAGTTGGATGTTCCTTGGAAGCATTAGAAGACTAATATTATTCAAACCTTGGACTATTTGTTTGAATATGAGGCCATCTTTAGGGGTTTGACTTGGAGGAAGATTGGAAGCTATATGAAGATTGAAGACCTTGAAGATTTCGTTAATTGGAAGGTTGTTAATTTTGATTTTATTGTGTTTTTCTTTGTTAGTTATATTTGGTTTCACTCCTTGTGTTGGAGTTGGACATGGAAGTGGATCGGTTGGTTTGTTTAGATAGGGTTTGATGCTTGTGTTCTTTTAGTGTAGTTTTTTAGTTTTGTAGCTTTGTTGTTAGGTTAGTTGTTAGGTTTTTTGGGCGGTTGCCCTCTTCCCTTGTATTGTTTTTTCTTTTCAATAAAATTTGCCAAGGGGTCTTCCCCTTTTATCCAAAAAAAAAAAAACCCTAAACCCTAAACCCTAAACCCTAAACCCTAAACCCTAAACCCTAAACCCTAAACCCTAAACCCTAAACCCTAAACCCTAAACCCTAAACCCTAAACCCTAAACCCTAAGCCCTAAACCCTAAACCCTAAACACTAAACCCTAAACCCTAAACCCTAAACCCTAAACCCTAAACCCTAAACCCTAAACCCTAAACCCTAAACCCTAAACCCTAAACCCTAAACCCTAAACCCTAAACCCTAAACCCTAAACCCAAGTCATTTGCTAAATTTTTTTCTCTCTCTAACTTTCTCTCTCTAGGATTCTCTCTCTCGTTCTTTCCAGTTTTCGTGAGTGACTTGCTGGGAATTCTGGTTGATCGGAGCTCTTACCGGTGCCGGAATTCCAACATTGTTGATTGAATTCACTCTAAAACCAATTCCAATTGTTTATACGATTGGAGGTGGGATGTTCGGGAAAATTGGAAATATGTTCGGCATGAATTACAAAGATCCACCTGATCCAGCTAACAAAAATCTATACGAAGATGATCTGGAAGCTGATATTGGAGCTAAACGAAGAGGAAGAAGAGCTGTGCACAAGGAATTTTCTCCTTACTCAGCGATTAAACCACTGCGATCGAAAGAAAAAATGGAAGCTACAGCTAATCGATTAAGGGAAGAAAAGAAATATCTGAATTCGAAATCAATTGCTGATGGATCCAAAGTAGTTCTTCGAGCTGGAATACGTGAAGTAATCAAGTCGAATTATGGGAAAGAAAACAATGATCCGCAATTTATAAAATCGGAACTGGATGCGTTTGATAAGGTGATTGCCGAACAGAAAAGAATGGAAGAAGAAAAAGGATTTGTGTTGCTCCAAGTAACTTCAGATATGGTTAAAGGATTCAATTCTTCTAAGAATTCGGTGGTTGGGTTATCTCCTTCGCCTCCTGTAATTCAAGCGAGCATGGAAACGAATGCTGGCACTGTAACTGGGTCAAACATTGGAATTTCAATTGGAACGAAGATTGACAAAGGAAATTTAGTTGATGAGTCGAAATATACCAAGGGCTTCATTGCTTCGAAGATAATGAAGGCTGGTTCGTCTTCTTCAGGCCCTGGTTCCATAATTGAAACAAATGATGGGAAGGGCATTTTGGGAAAATTCCCTGTTTCGCAAGATGTTCCAGTTATAACAGGTAATCCTTTGGTCTTTGAAGCTAATCCTATTGCTCCAATTAGTTGTCTTACTAATTGTAATGATGAAGATATGAAAGATTCTATTAATGAGAATGGGAATTTGGAAGTTGATCCTGGAAATAATATGAAGAAGGAGCAGGGAGCTAATTTTTTGAACATGGATTTTACCAAACCTGTTATATCCCCTGCAGCTAAATTGGTTAGTGATTACAATAAAAAATCTTATGCTCGTATGGTTGAATCAACAATTACTGCAGTGGATCTTAATATTAAAGTAATTCCAAAAGTTGATGGGAAACCTAGTGGGAAAGTTGAGTTACCTTATGCAGATTTAATGTTGGGTGGTGCTCCTTATCATGCTACTTTGTATGGATTTTTTGTGGGGAAAAAGCTTGCTTTCCCAACAGTTAATCATTTTTCTTTTAAGATGTGGAAGATGTATGGGCTGAAGGATATAATGGTGAATGATGAGGGATTTTTTTTCTTCAAGTTTGATTCAAAAGAAGGAATGATGAGTGTGCTGGAGGGAGGTCCATGGTTGATTAACAATGTCCCAATGTTTGTTCAAAGATGGAGGCCAGGTCTAGTTTTGAGTAAACCGCAAATTAATTCAGTTCCTGTATGGGTTAAAGTGTTTAATGTTCCTTTGGAGTATTGGAACAGCAAAGGAATTACGTTGATTGCAAATGAGATTGGGAAACCAATTGCTATGGATAAAATCACTCAAAAAATGTGTAATGAGCACTGGGGAAGGCCAGCTTTCATGCGATTTCTTGTGGAAATGTCAGCAGAATCGGAATGGATGAAAGAATTAAGTGTTGTATCAATAGATTTTGGGACAGGAGAGAAAGTTGAATCAAAGTGCAGGATAGAGTATGCATGGAGACCTGATATTTGTAGTCATTGCAAAATTTACGGGCATAAAAATAACAATTGTGGGATTCTAAATGGAAAAAAGAATAATGATGTTACTGATGTTGCTGTTGACAGAGAAGAAAAGGAGAGAAAAGAGAAAGTGGATGATGATGGGTTCATATTAGTAACAAAGAAAAACAATAAAGGGCAGAAATTCAATACCGGAGTGGTTATTAATGAAGAAGGGAAGGTGGATTTAATAAAATCTTTGGAGAAAAACACCAAGCCTGTTTTTGATGGAATGGTTGTTAGCAATAATGATGAAAGTCTTAAGGATGAGGGTAATCAAGGAATGGAAATAAGCAAAAAAATTAAAGAACAAGAAAATAAAAAAGGAGGCCAAAATGAAGATCGAAGCAATGAAGGGGCAGAAAATCGGAAGAATGGGGGTAATTTCTTGAAATTTGCTGTGGGTAATCTAAAAAAAGATGGGAAAGAGAAAGGGGTATTTCAGTCAAAAGATGATAAAAGTGGGAGAAAGAATGGGACAGGGGTGTTCATTCCAAAAGAGAAATTAGGAACAAGAGTGAAGAATGTAATTGAAAACTTTAATGCTAAAAAAGATGGAATGCAGGGGAAAAGAGAAGAAAATCAGAAAAAAGTGTATGTTCCTAAGAAGCAAGTGGAGTTAAAAGTGAGTTCTAATTTTGATAATTTAGGTTCTACGTCAGGAAAAATTGATCAAGATGAAATTACAACACAAAACCCATTTGATGTTCTTGCTGATTTGGGTTTAAGAGATATGTCTTATCTTGATGAGATGGATTCGGAGATTTTAACTGGAGGTGGCCAGGAGATAAGCACCGAAAATAAAATTGGTGATTAATGATGATGAATATAGGGTGTTGGAACGTGAGGGGTTCGAATTTAAGACCAAAACAGGAAGAAATAAAAAATGTGATAAGAAGTAATAAGTTGTCGTTGTTTGCTATTC